TTTGATTGGATTGACTTGAAATTGACTTGGAATGGAGTTGGATGAGTTGGATTGATAGGATTGAATTGGACTTGAAATGGTTTTTGAATGGATTGCCTTTGGTTTTTGAAATGGATTGAAATGGATTGGATTTAATGGATTGGATTGGATTGAATTGGATTGGAATGGGATTGTTTTGGATTGAATTGGATTGAATTGGATTGAAATAGATTGTAATTGATTTGAAATTGATTGAAATGGATTGAATTGGATTTGATCTGACTTGGATTGAGTTGGATTGGATTGGTTTGAATTGGATTGAATTGTATTGAATTGGATTGAATTGGATTGGTATTGAGTTGGATTGAGTTTTGGATTGGATTGGAATGGGATTGATTGGATTGAAATTGGATTGAATTGGATTGGATTGAATTGGGATTGAATTGAATTGGATTGAATTTTGATTGAATTGGATTGAATTGATTGGAAATGGATTGAAAGGATTGAAATTGTTGAATTGGATTTGATTGGTCTTTGGATTGAATTGAAATTGGAATGGATTAAATTGGATTGAATTGGTATTGAATTAGTTTGAATTGAATTGGATTGAATTAGATTGAATTTAATTGAATTGTATTGTATTGGATTGAATTCGATTGAATTGGATTGGATGAATTTGATTAAATTGGATTGGAATTGAATTTTGATTAAATTGGTTATTGGCATTGAAACTCAATTGAATTAGTTTTGAATTGGATTGATATTGTTTTTTAACTAAAATTGAAATGGCTTTTTGAAATGGATTCGAAGTGGACTGAATTGGATTGGATTGAATTTCACTGAAATGGTTTGAAAAAGATTGATTGGATTAGATTGGATTGACTTGGATTGAAATTGGATTGACTTGGAATTGAATTGGATTGACTTGATGAATTGGATTGACTTGGATTGAATTGGATTGACTTGGAATGAATTGGGATTGACTTGGATTTTGTTGGATTGAATTGGATTGAATTGGGTTGTATTGGATTGAATTGGATTGTAATTGGATTGAAATGGATTGGATTTGAAAATGGATTTTTTAATGGATTGAAATGGACTGGAACTGATTGGATTGAAAATGGATTGAATTGGATTTAAAACTGGACTGAAATGGATAGAAATGGATTCGGATGGGGATTGAATTGGATTGAAATGATTGAATTGGATTGTAATGCGGATTGAATTGGATTAAATTTGATGGTATTTGGATTAGATTGGAATTGGATTGAATTTGTTGATTGGATTAAAATTGGCTTGGATTTAATTGGATTGTATTGAATTTGATTAAATTGGATTGGATTGAATCAATTGAATTGGAATTGAAATGGTTTTTTGAATTGGATTGAATTGGATTGATTTGGTTTGAATGAATTGGATTTAAATTGGATTGGTTGGATTGAAATGGAATTGGATTGAAATGTATTTAATTGGATTAATGATGATTGAAATGGAATTGAAATGGATTTGAATTGGATTAGTTGGATTAAATTGGTTTGAATTGGAATGAAATTAGATTGACATTGGATTGGATTGGATTGAATTGGATTGAAATGGTTTGAAATGGATTGAATTGGATTGGTTTGACTTAGATCTAAATTGGGCTTGAAATGGATTGAATTGGATTGGATTGACTTGGATTGTGTTTGGATTGTGTTGGGATTGCAATTGGATTGAATTGGATTGAATTGAATTGAATTGACTTGGATTGAATTGGACTTGAATTTAATTGGATTGAATTTGAATTGAGTTGTTTAATTGGTTGCAATGGTTGAATTGGATTGAATTGGATTGAATTTTGGATTGGCTTGGATTGAATATGGATTGGAGAATGTATTTAAATTGGATTAATCAATGATTGAATTATGGATTGAAATGGATTGAATTGGATTAAGTTGGATTAATATTGGTTTGATTGGATTGAATTAGATTGAATTGATTGGATTGGATGGCAATTGGAATTGAAATGGTTTGAATGGATTGAATGGATTGGTTTGGACTTAGATATAATTGGTTGAATGGATTGAATTGGGATTGGATTGACTTGGATTGTGTTGGAATTGTGTTGGATTGGCCATTGGATTGAATTGGATTGAATTCCAATTTGATTGACGGTGGATTGAATTGGATTTAAGAATTTAATTGTAAATCCAATTAAATACATTTCAATCCAATCCATTTCAATCCAAGCCAATCCAATTCAATCCAATTCATTCCAAACCAAATCAATCCAATTCAATCCAATTCAAAAACCATTTCAATCCAATTCAATTGAGTTCAATCCAATCCAATTTAATCAAATTCAATCCAATCCAATTAAATCCAATCCAATTTAATCCAATGCAATCAAATTCAATCCAATTCAATCTAATCCAATCCCATCAAATTTAATCCAATTCAATCCGATTCAATCCAATTCAATCCATTTCAATCCAATTCAATCCCATCCAATCCATTTCTATCCATTTCAGTCCAGTTAAATCCAATTCAATCCATTTCAATCCAATCAGTTCCAGTCCATTTCAATCCATTTAAATCCATTTCAATCCAATCCATTTCAATCCAATTCAATCCAATTCAATCCAATACAACCCAATTCAATCCAATTCAATCCAACACAATCCAAGTCAATCCAATTCAATCCAAGTCAATCCAATTCAATCCAAGTCAATCCAATTCAATCCAAGTCAATCCAATCTAATCCAATTCAATCTTTTTCAAACCATTTCAGTGAAATTCAATCCAATCCAATTCAGTCCACTTCAATCCATTTCAAAAACCATTTCAATTTAGTTAAAAAACAATATCAATCCAATTCAAACTAATTCAATTGAGTTCAATCCAATCCAATTTAATCAAATTCAATCCAATCCAATTTAATCAAATTCAATCCAATCCAATTCAATCGAATTCAATCCAATACAATACAATTCAATTAAATTCAATCTAATTCAATCCAATTCAATTCAAACTAATTCAATCCAATTCAATCCAATTTAATCCATTCCAATTCAATTCAATCCAAGACAATCAAATCCAATTCAATCCAATTCAATCCATTTCAATCCATTTCAATCCAATTCAATCCAATTCAATCAAATTCAATCCAATTCAATTCAATCCAATTCAATCCAATCCAATTCAATCCAATTCAATCCAATTCAATCCATTCCAATCCAATCCAACTCAATCCAACTCAATACAATCCAATTCAATCCAATTCAATACAATTCAATCCAATTCAAACCAATCCAATCCAACTCAATCCAAGTCAATCAATCCAATTCAATCCATTTCAATCAATTTCAAATCAATTCAATCTATTTCAATCCAATTCAATCCAATTCAATCCAAAACAATCCCATTCAATCCAATTCAATCCAATCCAATCCAATTCAATCCAATCCATTTCAATCCATTTCAAAAACCAAGGCAATCCATTTCAAAAACCATTTCAATCCAATTCAATCCTATTCAATCCAACTCAATCCAACTCAATCCAAGTCAATTCAAGTCAATCCAATCAATCCAATTCAATCCAAGTCAATCCAATCTAATCAAATTAAATCCAATTCAAGCCATTTCAATCCAATCAGTTCCAGTCCATTTCAACCCAAATAATCCATTTCAATCCAATTCAATCCAAATTATTCATTTCAATCTAATTCAATCCAAGTCAATCCAAGTCAATCCAATTCAATCCAAGTCAATCCAATTCAATCCAATTCAATCCAAGTCAATCCAATCTAATCCAATTCAATCCTTTTTAAACCATTTCAATGAAATTAATTCAAACCAATTCAATTCAATCCAATTCAATCCAATTCAATTCAATTCAATTCAATCCAATTCAAATAAATTCAATCTAAGTCAATCCAATCCCATTCAATCCCAATTCAATTCAATTCAATCTAATTCAATCCAATTCAATTCAATCTAATTCAATCAAATTCAATCAAATTCAATCTAATTCAATCCTTTTCAATCCAATTCAAACCAATCCAATCCAACTCAATCCAAGTCAAACCAATCCAATTCAATCCAATTCAATCCATTTCAATCAATTTCAATCCAATTCAATCTATTTCAATCCAATTCAATCCAATTCAATCCAATCCAATTCAATACAATCCATTTCAATCCATTTCAAAAACCAATGCAATCCATTTCAAAAACCATTTCAATTCAATTCAATCCTATTCAATCCAACTCAATCCAACTCAATCCAAGTCAATCCAATTCAATCCAAGTCAATCCTATCTAATCCAATTAAATCCAATTTAAGCCATTTCAATCCAATCATTTCCAGTCCATTTCATCCCATATAAATCCATTTCAATCCAATTCAATCCAATTCATCCATTTCAATCCAATTCAATCCAAGTCAATCCAATTCAATCCAAGTCAATCCAATTCAATCCAATTCAATCCAAGTCAATCCAATCTATTCTAATTCAATCCTTTTCAAACCATTTCAAGGAAATTCAATTTAACCAATTCAATCCAATTCAATTTAATTCAATCTAATTCAATCCAATCCAATTCAATCTCAATCCAATTGAATCCCAATCCAATTCAATCCCAATTCAATTCAATCCAATTCAATTTTTATCTAATTCAATCCAATTCAATTCAATCTAATTCAATCAAATTCAATCTATTTCATTTCATTCCCATTCAATCCATTCCATTTCAATGTAATTCAATCCGTTCCATTTCAATCCATCACAATCTAATTCAATTCACTTCAATCCAATTCAATGCATCATATTTCAATCCAATTCAATCAAATTCAATTCAATTCACTCCAATTCAATCCGATTCAATCCGATCCAATTCAATCCAATTCAATCCAATCCAATCCTTTCCAATCAATTTAATTTAATTTAATTTAATTTAATTTAATTTAATTTAATTTAATTTAATTTAATTTAAATTCAATTCATTAAGTGTGAATAATATTAAAATGTGAACTGTTGCAGCGGCGCGGCGTTCGCGCGCATCGCCACGGCCTGCTACTTCCCGGGCGACCAGCTGCCCGCGGACATCATGGGCCCCGTGATGGCGTCGGAGGACGTGCTGGAGCGCTACATGCAGGAGGAGCGCTGCCCCTACGTGCGCGACGCGTGGGCGCGCGACGCCGACTACAGGGACCGCGTGGGTGAGACCATCGAGGAGCTCGTGGACAACCTGCTGCTGGCCGAGGACCACCTCTTCGCTTCCTAGCGCAACGTGGCTGCCCGACGGAATTGGGCGTCGGAAAGCTGACGACCTTCTGCGCACGCGTTGTTCAAGTTGCGCATCACTTTAGTGTTGTCCGCTACGGGGTGCACCAACTCCTTATGATTTAAGTAAAACCACGGGTCCTTTGGAAATTGTCGATATATCCCTCTTTCACGAAGCGAGGTGGGGATTTATCTGAGAATTTCCTAAGCAGGAGTGGTACTAATAGGACAGTTCCATGAATGAAATTATGTCCAACAGAGTTTCTAAGTGCGCGAAACATTGAAAATAACTGAAAGCTATGTTAAAGTAAATGAGATTGTGTTGTATGTATAGTGCTTCCTAAGATAAGTCACAGTTTGATTGGCGAGAAGGGAGACGTAGTAAGAAAAATCAGATAGAAAAAGCGATAAACTTCCTGAGATACCCGCACTGATTGGGGCATTTTGTATGTATAGTTAAACACCATTGGCTTTAATTTCACATTTGGAATAGTCATATTAATTATTTTAACATACTTCAGTGGCGGCTTGCAGTGTAGTGCCAGTGTGCCATGGCACTACCAACAAAAAGGAAAAGAAAATGTTCACCACAAATATGTATATAATATATCGTTTCTTTAAAATGTTTTATGTAATTCATTTAAACAAGCATTCTATCAACACTCTCTTCAAACGCCCAGAGCGGAGTGATATCTGCCGACATCCTTCTAAACCACTGGGCCACCTACGGATCGGCACTGTCTTTTCTCATTTAACGTCATATAAAGAACCCTGTGTTGGTTTGTAAGGGTCTCTTGTGGATGAGGTAGTGCCAAATTCGATCTGGCGCAATACATTCTGTTCCATACAGTGCACTATGGCACTCTCTTCATCGAGCAGATTATCTCTCGCTCAGGATGACCTCGATTCCCTGGTATTTCGTACGTCTTTTGTTATGTTTCCCGAACGGAGAGCCTGCATATGCCGTGGGCGTAAAGCTTGCTCTTTTCTTCCCGTACCGTTCTTCAGTGAACTCAGGAAGCTGTGATCCCTTGAGGTAAGTGTGGGCGCTGAAGATTGCAGGCCAAACAATTGTATTTGTTCGTATTATTTTTAGTTTTTTAGTTTAATCTTGATTATAAATCAAAAACATAGCCAGTAAAATTAAATTGTTATCCCCGAGTTTAATAATTTAGAGAATACTAAACCAGTTTTGAAAATATCGCATTGATGTTTGAAACCATCGATGTTTTTATTGATGTTTTACTAACTACGATGTTTAATAACTCTAATTCTGAACATCGATAATTGGTTACATCCATGTTTTTTTTCTTATCGATGTCGCATCACAAACTGGCACCACCAATAGAATTCCATACCGTCCGTCACTGATATACTTAGATGACCCATTTTCAATGGCATGGTATGATGACTAGTCACTACTGTGTCCTCCATATCAGATGTCCTGACAATTGCCAAGACAAAACTGAATATATATATATATATATATATATATGTATAATGTAAATGACACAATTAGTATTTCAATACATGTGTAAAAGATACATCGAAGTACTGTTTGAAAGTGCGGTTCAAGCAGAATGGAACTTTTAGAAATGAAGCAGTCCGAAGGTATATTTGGTTTTTAAATCATAGTCGAGTGGCGAGGTCCTACCGAATACTTTCCCCAAAATAAAGATCATGTCTTGTCTACCGCCGTATGAATTGAGGTAGGTGTGATCTGAAAATAATTTATCTTATTAATCATGCAGTACGAAAGAAAAGTTAATTTTCGTTTGTGAACGGTAATACATTTATCAAGGTTATCACAAGGCTCGATGGCAAACTGGTGATGAATGAGAAACCTGACTTCAGACAATGCTCTCTGCCACTCGACTACTTAACCATTTACGGAGTGTAAACTGACACTAAAGTGGTTCATCAAATGAGAGACATAGGCCCAAGATAACTATAACTTCAAAGTTAATACTATATTTGTGAGGAGTCCTATTTCTAATTGCCAGGTCTGGTTACCACAGACCACATAATTTAACAAGGGACTTGAGAAGAGCGAGGTTAGTCAGGTAATGAACTTCAAAATTTTATTTCTGAATTACTACTAGAACATTTATTCACTGCCAGCAAGAAAAATTACATAATTACACAAATTTCAAATGCGGACGACATAATATTTATAACACTTAAAAAATATTATAACTACCATAAGTTCTAAGAGACAACACGAAGATGCAATAGAATTACCGGGCGCTTGTGGCCTGATACACTAATTAACAAGGAGGGCGGCTGGCCTCTCTTTGTGAGAAGTGCCTACATTTACATTCAGTGTCACTCTGTGTTATTCTACCCCATTATGCCTTAAAACAAAAATTAACTACCGCACACTGTTCGGCCGCACCTTCGCGGGACTGTATCCGGCCTCCAAACTAAGTCTCCCACCTTCGCAGGTTGCCCCTTAAGTAGGCAACACATCTGACGTCTACGTCGTCTGTGAGAACTCGCTTAAAAAGTGGCCGTCGCATTTTTGTTAAAGTGTTTGGATTTCAAAATTCTATTTCTTATGAAATCAATAAATACTGCTAGTTTTTATCATCTGAAACCTGCTGTTTTCTGAAATAAAACAAACTACTAGATAATGTGCTCTTGACCTTGCTACGCTTTACAGTTCCCTCTTTGAATTCAAGTTTGTTCTCGCACATAATGTTCACACAACATCCGTCTTCTTGTTGAAACTTCTTGATGTAGCGAAACTCAGTGTTGGTCTTAATTCACACAGTAGTTTCGAGCAACAGAGTCGAATCCTCTCCTTCTGCACCGTTGGTAACTCCCTTCCGTTCAAGCATTGATCTGCCGACTTTCGCCTCCAAAATTGTACAGTTTGTGACAGTACATCTCTTCAGCAATTCTCCCGACCATAATAAGCAATTTGCATGAGTATGAGTTATATATCACTATGCAAAGGGAAAGCACGTATGAACTTTCAAAGGGAAAGGCTGGCGGTCACAATATGCATATCATTAACTGTCTCCTCTTGTAAAGCATGGGTGTCAAATAAGGGTCCAGAATTTGGAGATTATTGTATTTTCGTTGGAAATATTAATTCTATCTCAATCATAGAATCAATAATCGGTATCCATTTGAAAATATTTTTGAAATACATATGGTACATCTTCCTACGATCAAAATTATCTGGCTTTGCATCTACAGTCTCCCAACAATACAATATATAGGTTACACCTCACTCTTATAAAATATTTATATAAATAAAACTAAGCTAAGTCAGAAATCTCTTTTCTGATTCCGAAGTTGTAAGCCGAGATTTTTACATTGATATTCTCGTTGAATTATGCAAAAAGATTTTTTCATCTTAATTAATCCCTTCACTTTAGATATAATAATTACGTGGACAACTTTTAATACAAAGAAGGTAATCCATAAAAAATTGATTATCGAAACCACTAATAGATAAGAAACGAAAGAACTAGAAGGGACCACGATATTTCTTACATCAGACGAAATGCTAACATCGACACACTAAATAAAAATTGTTTATAAACTATTTACTGCAGGAATCGAGTAATTCGGTTTTTAATAATATTGATAGAAACGTCAAATATATTTTTTATGTTTCTATTTCACTTTAATACGTTACCTCATCTTAAAAAAGAAAAACAATTCATGTAAAAGCAATACTTAGACAACGAATTAGAATGTAAAGTAAAACTAAATGAATACATAATTTTATTAGTAAACATCATCACCTGCCTCATAATTTCCATTTCCAAAACAAAATCATGTTAAGAAAAACCAAAAGGCAGTCAAAAATCATTACACATACAATTAGGATAACTATAATTCAAGTAACAATACATACGTAATGTTTTCGACGCAACGTTTATTTGAGAGACTTATGACATTCTCAATATAATCGGTAAATTGAAAATAAATATTCGGCTGTTTTAGATGAATAGCTTAATAAAGACTTGCGTGTATCATTAAATACCCATTTACTCGCATATTTAATGCATTCTTATACACTGGAATTTTTGTTTTTCAAAACATCTCAGACTAATCCTCTCTACAAACTAATAGTGCTCCAATTCCAATTACTTTCTCGTATTAGGAACGCTTATGCAATATTATAATATTTCAATTTCTGTACTATTAAACTCATCGAAGTCATCACTAGGGCAAATTTCCGCCTAGGTCACCTAGGCCACTGCCTACGAGCGTGACGTTCATTGATAGTTGCACAAAATGTTCCTCAAAAAATTTTCAAAGGAACATGTTTTATTTCATAATTATGGATGGCAATTTTTAATTAATTTAATATTCGTGTTTCTTTTTAAATATTTTTATATCGTTAGCAGCGTTCAAAATTATAAAAATATTTAAAACCAATTACTAAAAATAAGAAGTTGAATTTTAAAAATTGTCTTTCAAACATCTAATATTTATTTATATTATGAAATATCGTACATAACGTAAATAAATAGTGTAATAAATAGTGTGAATGAATAGTAAATAACGTAATAAAGAGCGCAAATAACGCAAATATCGTTAACAACGTAAATAACTTCTTTAGCGCAATAAAATCGTACATAGCGTAAATAGCGTAATGAACGAAAATAGCGTTAAAAACGAAAATAGCGTACATAACGTAAATACCATAATTATCGTAAATAGCGTAAATAACGTATTTAGCGTCAAATTATCGTAAATAGCGTATACAACGTAAATAACGTATTTAGAATTAAATTAACGTAAATAGCTAAACGCTCGGGTTGCGGAATTTTGCTCGACTTGCGGATTTTTCGCTCGACTTGCAGATTTTTCGCTCGACTTGCAGATTTTTCGCTCGACTTGCAGATTTTTCACTCGACTTGCGGATTTTCGGCTCGACTTGCGGACTTTTCGCTCGATTTGCAAGTTATTCGCTAGGGTTGCGGATTATTCGCTAGGATTGCGGATTATTCGCTCGAGTTGTGAGTTTTTCGCTCTAATTTCGGACTTTTGCTTGAGTTGCGGATTTCTCGCTCGACTTAGCGGATTTTCCCTTGACTTCGCGGTTTTTTACGTTAATATCGTAAATAGTGTAAATAGCATAAATAGCGTAATTAGAGGAACTAGCGTAAATAACGTAAATAACGTATTTAAAGTTAAATTTACGCAAATAGCGTAAATAGCAAAAATAGCGTAAATAGCGTAATTAGCGTAAATATCGTAAATTGCGTAAATAGCGTAATTAGCGTTAATAGCGTAAATATCGTAAATTGCGTAAATAACGTAATTAGCGTAATTAGCCTATATAGCGTAAATAGCGAATATAGCAATAGTAGCGTAGTAAGCGTAAATAAAGCATATAACGTATTTAGGATCAAATTAATTTAAATAGCGTAAATAACATAAATAGCGTAAATAACGTAAATAACGCAATTAGCGTTAAATTAACGTATATAGCAAAAATAGCGTATTTAACGTTAATAGCGCAAATATCGTAAATAGAGTAAATTGCGTAAATAAAGTATTTAGCGTTAAATTAACGTAAATAACGTAAATACAGTAGTTAGCATTTAATTAACGTAAATAGCGTTAGTGTAAATAGCGTAATTAGCGTAAATTACGTAAAACATTTTTACTGTTAAATTAGAGTAAATAATGTTAATTGCGTAAATAGTGTAATTAGCTTCAATAGCGTAAATAGTCTAATTAGCGTAAATAGCGTTATTAGCGAAAATAGCGTTATTAGCGTAAATAGCGTAGTTAGCGTATCTAGTGTTCAATTACGTAAATAGCGAAGATAACGTATTTAGCGTAAATAACCTAATTAGCGTAAATAGCGTAAACAGCGTAAAAACGTAAATAACGTATTTAGCGTTTCATTAACGTAAATAGTGTAAAAAGTGGGTATAACGTAAATAACGTATTTCGCGAAAAATTGACGTAAATAGCGTAAATAGTGTATATAGCGTAAACACCGTATTTAGCGTAAATAGCGTAATCAACGTCAATAACGAATTAAGTAATATATTTACGTAAATAGCGTAAATACCGTATTAGCGTTAAATTATCGTAAATAACGTAGTTTAAATATCGTAAATAGCGTAAATAACGTAAATAGCATATATAAAGTATTTAGCGATTAATTACGTAAACAGCATAATTAACGTTAATAGCGTAAGTAGCGTTATTGCGTAAATAGCAAAAATAACGTAAATAATGAATTTAGCGTTCAGTTATCGCAAATAGCGTTAATATCGTTAATAGCGTAAATAGTACAAATAACGTAAATAATGTATTTAGTGTTAAATAATCGTAAATAGCGTAAATACGTACATAGCGTTAAATTGACGTAAATAGCGTAAATAACGTATTTAGCGTTAAATTATCGTGATAGCGTAAATAACGTGAATAGCGTATTTAATGTTTAATTAACGTAAATATCGCAGATATCATTAATAGCGAAAATAGCGTAAATAGCGTGAATAAGGAAAAAACGTAAATAACGTATTATGCGTTAAATTATCGTAAATAGCGAAAATAGCGTAAATAGTAGCAATAGCATAAATAGCATAATTAATGTAAATAACGTGAATAGCGTATTTAATGTTAAATTAACGTAAATAGCGCAAATAGCGTAAATTGCGAAAATAGCGTGAATAGCGTTAATAACGTATTCAGCGTTAAATTAACGTAAGCAGCGTAAATAGCGTTAACAGCGTAAATGGCGTAAATAGCGTTAATAGCGTAAATAACGTAAATTGCGTTAATAGCGTAAATAACGTAAATAGCGTTGAAAGCATAAATAACGGAAATAGCATAAATAGCGTAAATAGAACTAA